GACGGGGATGTGACGGGACTCTCGTCGAGCGGCAAACCTTAGCAAAGTGTCCAAGACGACGACAATTGTTACATTGTTTTCCTTTCGCTGGACATGGAGTATCTAGATGAGGCCACGAGTTGCCACAGTTATAGCACTTCGACGTTGCTCGCTGTGTGTTAAATCGACGATCAGGGTTATTTTGTTGTTGAAATGCACGCGAATTGTCACGCGGTTATTGTCAGGCAAGGAAGAACGTGCATGGCGACGTGTTGTGTTGTACGAATGTGATTCATTTCGGCCACGGTGTGGGGTTGTTTCATTTTCGGTTATACTAAGAGCAGCTAATTCTGATTTTGCAATCGCCAGGGTTTTTTCCATGTCTACAGCTTGTTTCATTGAATTTTCAAGAGCACGCGCGTGTTGAAGAAGTTTCGCGAGTGTTATTGTATCATCTCGTAATGCAGCCTCTCGCAGTTTTTTCGATTGACATCGTTGAACTATCTGAGCCCGAATTTCACTATCAATGTCGTTAAATTCACAGGTAGATGCTAATAGTCGGAGACGAGTATAGAACTGATCAACGCTTTCGTCATCGAGTTGTTGAGCTTGACGAAATTTGTATATTTCAAATGTCGTATTTTTCTTCGGCGAAAAATGGTCAGTGAGAAGTTTCAAAGTAGTCTTGTAGTCTTTTGCTTCGTCAGAGTTAGGTAGGTTGTCGAATATTTCGTGGACGGCTTCCCCAGCACAGAAGAGAAGCAGAGAGCGCTGTTGTTTATCATCGGTAATCCCTGTAGCGATAATGTATGTTTCGAGACGTTTCCTAGCGAATACTCACGTTATTTGGGTCTACGACGTCAAACGGCGTTATTGGAGGTGTTTGAAAGAGACTAGTAGCCATCAGAGTAAGTTATTTTATCCTCGTCGCCAATGTAAAGATGTATCTTTAATACTAAAATCTTCTCTATTGTCTTACGTTATTACACATGCGTGTCTCTATTGTTCTCCGCTTCCCGCCTTATTCTAATTACCTAGTTACTTATTAACTCAACATTACAATCACTGACAAGATACATTTACTAGTATGAAATCTCGTTCGAGATGTCTTCTTGCGAATTAAAAGGCTCGAAGATTCGAACGGAGCGCTAGTGCATGTTGTGAAAGTTCGCCCAAGTCGCTATGTCGACAAGGCAAACAACCCCTCTTGGATAATCTGATCGCATTACCTTAGCGGAGAATGAATCAATGAGATGTTGCATGCGGAAGTGGATAAAACTGTGGTTGTGGCGTGTGACAGCATGCATAGACAATCCAGAAGACAGGGATGGAAACGCAAGCTAAAGTACTTATAATGCTGACGCGCCATCCGTGATATGGCTTTATCACGTCAATTTTTAAGTTGCTACGCAACCGAGTTCTTTACTCAGAAAAAATAATGCAAAATAGATCCAGCAAAAGTTTGCATATTTTGAAGAATTTTTTAAATATAAATATTATATTTCTACCTGACCTTCAAGTCAGATATATTTCAAGATAAGTGCGTTTTCATTTTTCATCTTGAGTGTAAACAGTGCTCATAGTTCCAGTTCCAGAAGTGTTTGCATCAAAAATATACGCACGTAAAAATTAGGTAGTTTTTTGGGACCCTGTAACATGAAATCAAAGCTTTGACAACATACAAATAGCATCTTATATTACAAAAGAATGCATTAGGATAGCGACTGCAACTTGTAATTACATGCAGACTAGTGTGTGAGCCCGACAGTAAGAACCTTTTTCAGTCTCAACCACAAAAGGACCGCCATGTAACTACAATTTTGATAAATTGAGAAACTTTGTCTTACATTGTGTAAACAAAATAATACAGGGTATGCATCTATTACCTTTTTCAGCCTCTTTTTGCGCTTGAAAAGCTAAGAATCGCCAGTAGCTGCATGGATTGCGTCGTGTTTAGATGTTAAAATGTCACTTTTCTTGTTCTCGTAGAATATGTACCTAGTTGGGACCCTATAAAATCACCTCGACCCAGTTTCAGAGGGACATTTTTATATATTTGACACAATAAATCAACTAACTGTGCACTAATCGCATTTTCTAACATCGTCTTATATTAAAAAAGTGAAATTATCATAAAAACTGCGTATGTTGTATGTTTTGCTAAACCGAGTGTCGCCATTGTTTTCCTCAAAATATGTGCCTGTTAAATTTACTTTAGGCACGTTTTAGAGTCCCATTTGAAGATAGTTTAAACAAAAAACTATAAACTGTTAACTTATGGTTTTTACCAACATATTCTTTTTGTCATTGACTTTTTGCTGAGAAGTGTCTACATTGTTGTTCTCAAAAATGGAGTTCTACATGAGCCCGCAAAATATGCCGGCCGTATCATGGAGAGCGCACGCGAAAACAATGGCGTTTCCAGGCCCTGTCTTCTGGATTGTCTATGGTGACAGCAAAGCGATCGAAACTTGACACCTCGCATATATACGCATTTTTACTTACGCAGTGAAATCTCAATTTTCGATTGCTAAAATGCCAATTTTCTTCCCTTTTTCGACAAGAATGACGGTATCTTTGAGATCGTAAATTATTCCTAATGGACCGACTTTTCCTGTACTCATACACATTTTTGGACTGACTTTTTAGACTTACTTCACAAAGATAGGGTCACACACCCCACACACCCCCCTTAATGTTCGCCCCTGGTGCTCTTAATTACACGTAAATTTTACAAATTATGATATCTAAAACCATTAATTTACCGAGTAACTCATTAGCTTTGTTCGTATACAGGGTGTATAAAAAAATTATCAAACTTTGATGCGCTATTGTACAGGGTGTGTAAAAAAACTGCAAATACCATAATTTGTATCCATAACCCAAGGGTAAGCAAAACACAATGGTTAAGGAGTTAATTCACTTTGTGTGCTTGTTTTGATAACCCTGCATAAGTGCATAGATAGTGGTCAATTTGAAGGCATCGGCGCATAATCTCTTTTTAAAAAGTGTAAATGTAAATAATTGCAATAAACAAGTTGTAAAACCAGTGCACACTGTGACATGTTCGTGATTAATTTTTTTTTTCTTTTTGTTATGAACTGCTTTAATTAGGCTCAAAGGTGAAAATATGAGATTGTGACTAACATTTTTTATCAGCCTCGTATAAACCAATTGCGAAATTTAGCAACCGCGCCTTCGCGCAACATGGAAACGAGGCTTATTATGCAAAAAACAATATTTGTTTTTTTTCGCAGTACAAAGCTATTCGCCGTTTTATATCCCGGTTTTCCCTATTGGTTCACATATTTTTCGATACTTTTAAGCTTAGCTTCATCGTTGTTATCATAGTTTTCAGGTGAGAGAGTTTTGCCTTTTATTTCAGGCGTTTTTGTGATGTTTTCATTAATCTTATCCGCTGCTTTCGTCTGGGAAATATTTAAAAAGGCCGACACAAACTCAGGTAAAAATTTAGTTTTTTGCAAACTATCTCGTCTAAAGTTTTTGAAAATTTATTTTATTTTTCTTCATCTTATTTGGGCAAAATTTGGCGATAAATTTTTGGCGCAAAATTTATGTTTTTGTATTAGAAGTATTGAAAAGTCACGGTCGAAGAACCACCATGTTCACATTTCTCATTTAAATTGTTTTATACCAATTTTATCGATTGATAAGCTGTAATTTTACAGCAATTTTACAGTTCAGGAAAAAATCTGTTGACAGAAACTATAAGAGATCTTTTTCCCAAAATATTATACTACAGCAGCTCCGTTTTTTTAAGATATACCTTTACATGATGGCAAAGCGGAAGGCGAAAAAATATCTGCGATGGTGAACGGAATCCTTTCCTTTTCAAGTATTTCTGGTTAAGCCTTATTAAACATCCATTGCATGGTAGTAGATATAGAAAGAATAGTGTTTTGAAGGGACACAAAATATAGAGAACGTCAGGTGCATTCGAATTCGACTTTTAAATTAAATTCGGCCTTCAGGTGGGCATGCAAGCCATGCATCGTGTGTACTTTATTCAAACGAAATAAACAAAAATATATCAGTCAGTTACTTTTTACCATTTTAACAGTATTACTGTGGTATAAAGATAAAAAATTCAGTGATATTTGTGAATAAATTTGAATCGATTTCAAAACCAATTCAGTTATCAGGTGTGAAAATTATATAATCTGACTGTTACTTTTCAATAATTTTTGTCACGAAAACATAAATTTTGCACCAAATATATATCGCCAAATTTTGTACAAATAATTGGAAGAAAAATGAAATAAGAGACGAAAACGAAATAGTTTGGAAAAAATTAAATTTTTAGTTAAGTTTGTGTCGGCCTTTCCCATATTTCTCCGACGGAAGCAGCAGAAAAGATTAATGAAAACACCACAAAAACACCTCAATTGAAAGTCAAGACTTCCTAACCTGAAAACCATAATAACAACGATGAAACCAAGCTTAAAGGTATCGAAAAATATGTAAACCAAAGGCGAAAACCGGGATATAAAACGGCGAATAGCTTTGAACTGCAAAAATACAAATAATGTTTTTTGCATAATAAGCCTCGTTTCCATGTTGCGCGAAGGCGCCGTTACTAAGCTTCGCAATTAGTCTATGTGCTCATTTCTTCACCATTTGATATTAAAAGCATGTCATCTGATAGTTAAAAGCTTGATCTTTCTGAATGTGAAAAAAATTCGTTCATAGACTGGGTAGTTCACGTAAAATTTAGCGTGTTAAAGTTTGATCACCTTTTTTATACACCCTGTATTTTTAGCATCCTCGATAAATTCTAAATTGGAACGCGATCAGTACGGCCCTGATTGCATAATGTAACACGACTCCTGATGCTTTAGATAGTATATATAAGTTTCTTTAATTTGTTTTTTTTATCTATAGGTACATATATTACGGTTTTCGTTGACTAAATTTCACAACTTTAGATTAAAACAATTTCCTCTTGGCAAAAACGTCAGGAAGACCGGAATCTCCATAATTATGTAGTCTCCTTGCTTTAGGTTTAAAGATTGCAAAATAGACAATGACGACAATGGTAAGATTGTAAATCGAGTGTGAGGGCATTCCACATTGGCATAATGTTGAGTGAAAGGGTTTCAAGCGCTAGGGGCGGGGAGTATTAATGATTGCAAACTTTCATGGAATTCGACTAGGAGAAACTTGTACGTGAGTTATAGTTAGTCCGCCTTTTCAATCCATTGCAAATTACCACAAGTTCACAAAGGGTTCCACTGATATGTTGACGTCGACGTACAAAAGCTATTCTTATGACGAATTTTTTATGTCGCCCGCGCGACCCCCTAGAGAGTGAAATAACGTGTTATCCCATGAGAAATAACAACTTTAATCACGTGCGGCGCACCTGTACGATCGACCTAAAAGCCTGTTTATCCACTTGAAATGACTTTTATGAATAGATATTTCGTTGTCTACCTTGTAGTTTGATTTTTCTTTGACAAATAGTATACAGGGTGAGTAAAAAACATTGAAACCTTTGAGAATCAAATTAACTGTAATGTGACAGAAGTTACCTAAAATATCTCATTGGTATACAAAGCATATCAAATAAGTGAACCCATTAATTAAAACACAAGGTTTGTGATCCCTAAAACATAAAGTTTGTTCCCTTTGGGAGTTAAAATGCATTCTAAGCTCCGTTTTTTTGGTCCACTCGCCACGTTGAATTAGTTTAATTGGTTTAAACACTTTTGCATTAATTAACCACTTCCTGTTGATTGTATACATGGGAATTGTCAAATTCCAGCCATAATTAAGTTCGCAGCTAATTTGACTTTCAAAGGTGTTAGTTTTTTTACCCACCCTGTAAAATAAAAAAATTATTTACCGAGAACTCAGAAAACATGTTTTATGGACCGGAGACCTGTCCAGTTTTCACGAGACGTATGTTTCCTTCGCTCGCAGTAAATAAGTGTTAACTATATAATGAAATAGTGAAATCAAAGAGTTTTACGTAGGTGACATCCTTACCTAAAAGTTGTCGCAATTAAGTGCTCGCCATTATCAAATGAAGCTAAAAACATGCCGGATTTTGAGCTTTGCTGACGCCACATGGTCCTAAATGGCCTGGCCCGCTGACATACCGCGATCCAAAGACAAAAATTGAGTAAAATTGTTTTTAAGCGAAGGTAAATTAAGCGAACATGTGGTTTTTTGATCTACTTGTGATGTGTTAAATGTTTCATGGGAAGAGAATCAGGTAATCTTTTTTAATTATTATCGTTTTTTTACAGCTGCACTTTAGTACATAACTAATATAAGACTCAAAATTAAAGCTATGAAAAGCAAAAGTGTTTGCCAACAACATATTTTGATTTCATTATAATTATTAATTCAATGAAAGTTATATTACTATGTTACAGTGACTAGTTTTATACACTGGCGGTCAAAAAGAACTGCTCAAAACAAGTTAAAATGCTGTCAAATGAACGTAACTGTCCCTCTAACAATACATACAAGTAAATATAGTCTAGATTACATGCTAAGCTATATGAAATATTAATATTTTGTTGACCCTCCTTTGGCCTTATAATTGCTGACGGCCTTACACCGGCGTGTCATACTTTCTGTTAAGGTGGTAATCTTCACGGTGAAAAGAAATTCATCCTATGGACAGTCTTTACAGCAACGCATAAATCATGGACGCTTTATGAATGAATTCCTTTCTTGCACTATCCCCTTGACATTGTCCCACAGATTTTCAATAGGGTTAAGGTCTTTTGACTGTGCAGGCCAATCCATTTCTGTCACTCCCTCTTCCTGAAACCATTGTTTGACTATATCTTGGAAGTGTGGCAGCTTGCATTACATTATTGAAATATTGTTTGGAATAAGAGAATTATACAAAATGCCTATGAAGCTCTCTCCTATATTCGCTTCTTTTTTATGAATTTGTATCTAAACAGTTCTTTTTGACCGTTAGTGTACAATAAAAGATAGATTGTCACGATTCCTGTTACATACGATAATAGCAACATTTGAGCAGTTTTTTTTTACCGCCAGTGTATGTCAGCCTTTTTGGTAAATTTTCATAATGCAATTCTTTCAAATAGCCTTAATTAGAATATTTGTCATATTTCAATAGTTTTCTGTACGTTGTATTCACTTTGTAACTATCAAAAAGGGTGGTCTAAATTGAATACAGCAAGGCTTATCATATTCCTCTTATTTTGCAGGAATGTGCCAATTGGAAAAAAGCAAGACACGGCTTGCATCATTTCGTTCCTTTGTTCGGAAATATTGAATTAAAGCAAAATGCAATGTATCATACACATGAGCGGCTGGTTGATTATCGATTATGCCATATTGACTTGATTTTAACCTTTTCTCTTAATTTCCTAAACCATTCTCCAAGAGGACTAGTTAATGGGGGATAATTCACGATTTATAATCAATAAATTGGCATTGTGAAAGTTTCTTTGAAACATGAAATCATTGTAACTGCAGTAAAAAACCTACACCAGTTGGTGAGATAGCAGCTATAATTTCTGAAATACAATTCTCAGAATGTACTAAACATTTTCATAATGGACAATATCACAAGCATTATACTGTATGAAGGTGGTCAGGAATGCTAAATGAGCAATCCTATAAAACAAATACGACTTAGCTGAATTGTATTACTGCACATAAAATGTTGATAAATGCATTGACTTTAGAAAAGTTCAATTTATCTCTATAAAAGAGGCAAACAATTTCTGGCATACAAAAAGTTACGAAATTCTTAGACATTTCCTCTAGAAGTTTAAAAATCAGTTGGATTTCATGCGCATTGTAAAATAACAGCCTATATAAAATTTAAAAAAAAAGTAATAGATAATATTTACAATTCTAAATAAAAGTTATTTACAATATGTTGATAAAATTGATGAAAAATTGTTGAATGAATCAATGAAACTCGGAAAATATTTTTTTACAATACTTACAATACTTATTTGTCCTGGTATTGGTAAAAAAACGTATACGGCTTGTATATATTTTGAAATAATGGTTTTTGTGTTATAGTTAATTAATTTAAAAAATCGAAAATTTCGAAAACAACGAGGTTTCGCACAAAACAAAAATTTCCCAAAAGCCAGAAGGAAAGATTTCGAAGCGTGCTCAGATTTAAGCCTGATCTGTGGTAACTGCCATTCCAATTTAGGACCATGTGACGTCAGCAGAGCTTCTGCGCATTGCGCAGAAGGCGAAGTCCACCATGTTTTCGGCTTCAAAAAGATGGCGGTGAAGTTACTGAAATTCGAGGAGCACTCCCTGCTGGGATTATAGTATAGCTCAATGGTAATATTGCACTCTATCGGACGTGTTTCCCAAATATTGTTGACGCAGTCGCTAATTAATTTGTATTTGGTTATAAAAAACCTCGATAATGATAGCCATGTTAGTCAAACTGTTGCTCAAAAATGATTTATAATTAATGTTCTTAACTCCTGTAGGAAAGCTTGATAAAAACGAATTCGCCAATATGGACAAAGAACGTACCGCAAAATGGTTCGAGAAACACATAGCTGATTCCGAGATATCTAAACCAGACAACGTATTTATGCAACAAACATGGCTCTGGCACAATGAAGACGAATTACTTGCATATGAAGACCTGTTTGAGAACTATCACGAAAGGTAAAATAACTTTGGGATCAAAATATTCTTAAATAATTTGCTCTTAATGTACACGCACCGATTACAACGATAGCGATTCGCAATCGACCTTCTCCATTTATTATTCAAGATCTTAAAAACCAAATGAAAGAGAGAGACCGATAACACCAGAGATTTATGCTTACGCCTAACATTAAGGATTGGGATTATCAAAAATGCTTTTAGGAAAGCAGTGCAAGCATGGCCAGAAAATTCGGACATAGTTAACATTCTACTTCCGCCTAAATTTGCATATGGTGTCAAAATAAAGCTTCGTGAGTTTATAGTAAACTGTAATGTGCACAGTACTAAACGCTGAAAATACACCTTTAAACAGGTCGATTATAATTTGCCTTAATTGCTCGTTGCAGAGCAAGTTAATCTTAATATTTTTATATATAGTATTTCAAAATGTTTTATCAGTATTCGTCCTGCATTTTCAAAACAAAGTTTTGGTCATTTATCACGTTGAATACCATATAAAACGAAAACCGTAATAGCGTAGAAATAAAATAAAAATGCAGAGTTGCGAAATTTAACTGAGAATGCGCAATTTAATTTATAGCTCTGCAAACGAATAATATTTGAACAGATATGCAAATTTGTTACCCAATCTGCATATTCCATGTCCGCAATTTCTGGCCATGAATATAACTCTAACGAAATACAGAAACACAAAGATAACCCGAGGTCTATTTGGGAAATAATAAATCGTCTTGTACCATCTAAGAGACAAAAGAGCCAAATCTATACTAAAGACCAAGAACTTGTGGCAAAAAATTTTTTCAACAGTAGGTGAAAATGCAGCAAAGAAATCTATCCACTTGAGCTATACTCATAACATTTCCCCGCGAGAATCTTATGAAGAAATCTATACATACCGGAAAGCGAACAATATTTTCTACTGCATTGTTTTTTCACAAAATTGCACCGTCGTTTTGAATCCGAGAAATTGTTTTTGTACACGCATTGTTTTACATGAAATTGCTTAAATACTGAAAAAAAATAAATATAACTTGAAGGCCATCGTGTTTTATTAACTATCGAAACGTCGACGTTTAATAAAATGTAGCGGCCAAAATATATCTTCTTTTGCATTGTATAGAGTTGCAAAAGTTTCAATGTTACCAAAAAAGATAGTAGAAAATAGTGAGCCCATTCAGGTAATTTGTGTCCTTTAGTTATATCACGTGCATATGTATATAATTTATATATATTTTGAAACAAAAATTATAATTGGAAAAGTTAGTAACATATTTTTTGGTGGATACAAGTTTTGTCAAATTCAAAACCAAATTCAAAACTGAAAATCGACATATAGAGTCGTGTTTTCGCATTGCAAGCTGTAGTTCAAAATGCCACAAAGACGCTTCAAAAGCACGCATTAATCATAATAACTCTGGAGTTAGAATCAATATATTTTTCAAATTTTCAAATTCAATTTTAGGTAGTAAAGTATGAAACTGGAGCGCACTATGATTGCCATCATGATACGCAAAGTCTATCAAATGAGCTACCATGTTGTCAGTATGGCTCATCAAATTGTAGACTTTGCAGGTAAGGTATTCATCATTTTGATGTGTCAGCTAGTTCCTTTTACTTTTGTAAAGACGATCGAAAGAACGGTTTAGTTCCGGCTAAATCTTTTCACCGTCTAAATCGTATCACATGTGGCGTAACACATGATTTAGATATCCAAACCTGCATGCTTTGAGGAAATAACTACGACAGGTTTGTTGTCTTGACACAATATCGATTCTGTTTTTCAGTTTCTTTTCCGTCATGCGTGCATGCAATGTCAAACACGTAAAACACGTAAAACACGTGTTAGGGTCCAATATTCTATTTGGCTTAAAACTGTGCATTTTTTAAAATCTATTGCTAAATTCCAGAGTTTACGCCTTAAAAGAAATGCATAAATATTTACCCTTATGTTAAAATGTCCATGAAACATCAAAAAATGTCCTTGAAATATCCAAGACATAAAATGTCCTTATAATATCCAGGAGATTATTTTAAGAAAATATTTGATGAATTTATCCTCAGAATTTTTTTAAAAACCGATGTATGAATAATACTCTTGTTCTTGAAGACTCTAAAGTTCGGAAAAAAACCAAGAAGCATTGTTTATTCGAACTTTGCGCTTTCGTACCACATACGTGACATATTTGGCTACTTTAGAAAACTTTATAAACAAGCAGCGACTGAGTTAAGATTAAGCTATTTGCGTTTTTAACAGTGGTTGTCAGGTGTGATTATAAGTGAAACCTTTGACATGTAAATTTTATATGAAGTATAGCTTCATGTGAAATATTTTGACATGTGAAATTTCGCATTTAATTTCATGTAAAATCCTTTCACATGTGAGATCTCATATGTGACTCTATGTGAAATCCTTTCACATGTGACTATGTGAAATCCTTTCACATGTGAAATGTGATTTCATGTGAATTTTGAATTTCACATAATATCAAATGATTTTACATTAATTATTTTACAAAAAGCGTCTTCATAACGGTCGAGGAGATATATATGCTCATGATGCTAAATGCACATGCATTTCAGTTCTAGCCCTAACCTATATACACGAAAAAGAAGACATATGCAGTTGGGATTAAACACAGAACTATGTAATCACTATAACATACAAGACGAATACTCATGATCCGTTGAAAATTATAATGAAAATAATGTTTTTACAAGGCATTGACTACAACTGTCTTGATTAATTAAGAAACACAGTCCAATTTGTATTTACTGTATTTTCCCTGATCATAGTTTAATTCCCCTGATGCAAGTACTAACAAACGCACCAACTCTTGTCTTGTATATTAACCAAGATATGAAGCTAAATCATGGTTAAATTACAGTTAGAACAATAACACATTTCAACAAATAACACCGGGCTGCCGAAAACCGTCGATGCACGACTCTCGACGAGACAACGAAAGGTGTTTATTTTACAGTTGAATTAATTGACCATCTCAGTAGCTAAGCCCATGGAAATGCACAAACTGTAATCGGAACTCTATAGTTTTGATGATGACTAAAGGATTTCCAATAGTGCAAGTTGTAACGTGTAGCTATATATTTTCTTCTTCCATAGATGCATGTAATAACTACACTATCTCAAATCGAAATTACATAAAATTGCTTATTCTATAGCGATAAGTATATAAAATAACACATCTGATGAATTAAGTAGCTCCAAGAAAAGGTACTCATGCAGCTTATATAATTGACTTATGAATGATGCGTGTTTTTTTTCGCTGTTGTATTATCTGCCATTGTTGTGCGCATCATTGTTAAACGTAGATAATAGATTGTTCATTCGTATGGCCAAAGACCGTGTGATGATAACGTTTCAATTTTAGGCCAAACTTCAAAGGCTGCTTGACTGCATCACTATTGATATCCAAGTCCAAACAGCTTTGTGATATGCAACACTCTTGCGCGCGTGATTGCACTTTGACTTGTTTTGAATTCATTGTCTTAAAAAATTAGCACTCCGTGCGGCTTGTACGGCGCTTGGTTTAATGAATGCAGTCATGGGTGATCTCAATACTCCACGGTTGAGTCAGTCATTATGCTGACAGAGTATAACGCTTCACGAAATTCGGCGGGCGCATCTACCACCTTAAAATATCACAGAAAATTTGAAGGTGGATGAAAATATTGAAACTATCTTTACAATCTTTACAATGTTGAAACTAATGTTCATTAATAAAGTCCATGTTAAGGATCTTCTTCTTGCCTTGTAATCTTCGCTATGTTTTGTCTTCTTCTTCGTTAGTTGTGTCTTTATTATTATTATAGGCTTTATTAAAGAGGGTAACATTTTACAGTGGTAAAAATACACTGAGAACTTCATGGCCCTCACCTATACTAAACTAAGCTAAAATAGTTACTATTTACAATTTAATAATTAAAACTTACACATTCAAGATCATGGTGGATTTCTGATCATTTTAATATGTTTTGCATAAATTGTACTTGAAACTAGCTACTGAGTTTCTCTTCCTAATACCTAAATCGATACTGTTCCATTCTATCCGTAAAAGTGCGTTCTAGCCGTAAAAGTGCGTCCTCCTTCAGTCTTCCTAGTGTATTTTGGACACATAAAGTTGGAACTTGAGTAACGAGTTTCTCTCTTGTGGATGCCTGAATTTTGTCTTAAAAACTTTTCAATATAACTAGGGTACTAAAACTTGTATTTATACGCTTATAAACTAGCGTATTCCTTTTAATTTGAGATTGCTTTGTAAATGGAAGCCAGTTTAAGTCATTAAATATAGTAACTGATGATGCAAACCTACCAGCATCCAGAATGATACGTGCCGCCCTCTTTTCAAGCTTTAAAACCCTTTGAATACATTCAATGCTAGAATTGTCCCATACCGTGTCCCCATACATCAAAATAGGCGTCTCGATAGTTTTTTCCACAGCTCGTCAATATGAGGCCCGACCGTAAATTTCTATCGCGGTAAGTTACCCCAACAACTTATGCGAGGAAACGTCCGAAACGCATCTTTAATATACACAATGTTTATGAACTAATAATATATATATATATATTGATCCCGAGAAACCTTAATAATTCAGTTTAGCACCGATATTATATATAGTATCAAATCATCGTTTATTCAACTTTCTCTTTCTTGTCTCATTGATGACATCAAAGCTTGAATTTCTTTGTTGCGGGCGGAGTTGCTTCCAGAGGTATAATAATCATATCACATAACCGGCTACCAATTAAATCGAAAAAAGTTATCAGGACTAGCAAAATACTTGTAATTTTAATAATCTAAAATAAGCTTTACCTTTGATATTCCCTGGTCATCTTGACCTTTCTCTAGAATCCAATCAGGTGTTGTGGAAGATGGATTAACATAGGAAAAACTATTTTCTGTTCTCCATAACGATGAAAGTATTTCTCCAGTTGGGAAATGAATTTCCATAAAACTCTGTAAGAAATTTGTCTTGTTTTTTTCCTTCTAAGTTTCAGCAAGAGTTGATTGACAAAGCTGACAAACAATTCCTAAATCTGATCTGGTTTCGCTTTGAAGCTCTTCCAAACTAGATGGTCTCCAAGTGTAGCCAATTGTCCTTTAATTTGTTCCACTTAATTTCTGGCGTGTTCCCTGTTACGTTAGTTAACATATTTGCTTCCACGGGCGATGAGAAGGTTCCATTGATGGATATGACCACACACTTTCACGTTTCGACTGTTTCTTAATCTCCGTCCCGCCAGTTCCTTATATGGTAAAATCCTGTTTTTCTCCTTTTAAGCGCAACTCTTCCGCTAGGCTTTCGGTAACATTTTATCCAGTGGAGCAAGGATCCAGCATAACATTGATTTTTGGCTTTTTGCCGCCAATTTCGACAGATGTAGGGAGAACCATCAGTGATAGTTGTCCAATTGCAGGATTGTTCTGATCTTGTTTGTTGTCATTATCTTCATTTTGTTTTCCTATTCTCTCAGCTAGGTCGTGCAACAAGTTGCTATGTCCTTTACTTTCACATCCGCTGACTCCACATTTTCTCTTTCTGCCACAATACTTACTTCGGTGACCAGCCGCTAGACTAGAGAAGCACCTTCCTGTTTTAGCAATTAGTTGATTTCGTGTAGCTACAGGGAGCTTTCTAAATTCTGGACAAACCCAAGGCGGATGATAAACGTCGCAATTCATAACGATACATTTCCTAGCTTTCGTATCCGCATTAAAGCCCTGATTATGACGTCGTCCTCCATGGTACCCTTTGACGAATTCTCCCGTTTTCTCCAAAGCCTCGTCCATGATGCAAACACGCCTCTCGATCCACTGGACCAACATTTTAAAATCATCATCTTCATCCCGTTCATTTAACCTATACTTATACTCTCTGACGTATTCCACTGAGAGTTTTTCCTTCACTGTTAAACAAAGGCGCTGACTTCTAATTTCATCATCCACGATCAACGTCTTCTAATGCGATAAGAATACGGTCTAGCGTTAACAACATGGTTTCCAATTCCTCCAGGTTATATCTTCGTACTTTGGGTAGTGCTCTTAAGGTTACCAAATCGGTCAGGGTCTGTCTACGTTTACCACCGTATTTGCATTGTAACTTTTTTTTCGCTCTCTCGTACGCATGCTGAGTGAATCCAAAGTCCCTGACCGTCTCTAAGACTCTAACACTTTTGCTTTTAGACAGTTCTGCAGCCGTAGCATTTTCTCCTTTACTGGTATTTTGGTCCCTTCAACAACTGATGTGAGCGCCGCGTTCCACGCCTCAAAATTGGTTTTATCGATTGAGTTCAACTTCATCTGCTTTCTTTCGCATTTCTTCCTCTAGAGATCTCTGCTTTTCCTCTTATTTTTCTAGTCGTTCATTAGCATCCCCCGCTTCTTGTTCTCGAGATTTCAACAATTGAGTCTCTTTTCACTGACTTTGGGATCTTATCATTTGAGGAACTGGTTATGTTTGATTTCACGGATGATTTATTTGATATTATTGTTGACGAGTCCGATTAATTTTCACCCTTCAATAATCGCTTTCTGATATGCTGTCTTTTTTCTTCTTTTCAAAGTCAAATAACCTGATGATAAATTTGGCTTCTCTTCGGCTAATTAAGTCAAACCGGATGTTCTGTCCCCTCTTATATTGCAATTTTGCAAATAAATATTGCATTATTCATTGGCCAACCGTCTAGAAAGTTGAAATTTAAAAGCACAGAGTCAACGCTAAAATATTAATTCGGACCACTAGAAAAAAATTCTATCTATTATTTACCAGTTTATTCGGGCCGTGTAGGGAAATATTTCCCTCGGTCTCAAAAACGTCCCTCGACCTTCGGCGTCGGGCTGTTTTTGAGATTATGATGATTTTTTCATATATACACTGGCGGTCAAAAAGAACTGTTCAAAACAAGTTAAAATGCTCTCAAATGAACGTAACTGTCCCTCTAACAATATATACGAGTAAATATAATGACGGACCATGGATCATTTGATATGTCCTCACAAAAAGCCTCTTTGTTGTAATTCTTGAAACTTCGGACAGAGACATAGACGGGCTTGGACGACATTTCTTCAAGATCAGAATTGACATAACCACATCATGATCGCTTATTCAATTTGGGAGGACTTTCGTTTGCTTGATGTTTTTCTTTGAAGAGGTAAGGATTACGTCAATCGATAAACTGGAACGCTCAGTAACTCTGGTAGGCTAATCGACCAACTGCGTCAGGTTGAAGCAAGTGCAGAAATCAAAAAGAGAGCGCTGTACTGGGTCATTCGTATCTAGGACATTGCGGTTGAGATCACCCAGGATGTAGATATAGGTTTGTTGAAGGACAAAACTGACGTTTGGGTTTCACTGAAATCTTTCTCGAAACAAGGTAAACTAGTACCAGGTGGACGCTAAGCTGTACATACGAAAAATGATCTGAAGTTCCTAACTTGTATCTTTAGCCATAACTGAGGTAAGCCAGAGTCTGCAATATAAGATAGGTCTTTCACGGTCTCACATTTGAAACTATGGTTGATATAGGCACAGGCACCACCTCCTCTCTTTCCGTCACGATCAAGTCTAAATAGACTATATCCTGGAAATTCAATTTCAGTATCAGTCATAGAGTTGCCCCAACCAAGTTTCTGAGATAGTGAAAATGTCCAGTCTCTGTTTCAGGACAAAATCCTTTACCAGTAAGTAGTGCTCTTTGTTCTTTAAGGAACGGATATTTAGGTAAGCAATCGTAACGTTACCTTCATTAGACGATGTTTTTGTAGTGTCGACTTTACTGGTTGATTGGAAATTATTATCTGGTTCAGCTGGACCGGGATTAGACTCTGCATGCATATACACAGTAAGATTAAAAAATCCCAGTAATTTAGTATTTACTGAGCTCGGTGGCGCCCGGCGCGTACGCCGGCAATCACATCATCATCCTTGTGTGACATTTCACACAAACAGACTTGAATGTTTTAGGATTATATTAGAAAGATCTATTTGCTATTATTTAATCGAACTTACGCAATGATATACAGGGTAAAAATCATACCATGTTTTAACACGGAAAAGGTATGTGTTTTTTGATATGGAGTCACAAATGCTTTAATTAATTCTGCCTTTGGTCTTCCATATCACTGTAATTTATATAATGTCGCGTAATATATGCTCAAAACCTCGGTTATATCTTCATGCAACACTAAAATTTTCAGCATTAAAAATGTTTTGCAAACCTGAAAAGCATCCACAAAGTATGTTTACTGTATAATCTCAAAATGTTGTGAAAATGAAAATATTTCTCAGGATACGCCGAGAAAAAAATAACACTTGAATCGAAGCTTCTTTTGTATTCATTTCAGACTCAGTTATAATGGCGTTGACATTATAACATTGTTGATAGCGCCGCCGCATTATATTTTGTAGTAACTCCTTTGTTTGGTGTTTTGCATTCACCAAATACAGTTTAAAAATTAGTTCACAACATAATCTAAAGATTAAAGGTAATATAAATGGATTTTGAGTGGTATACGCCGAAAAGATTTTAGGTTTTGAGCGTTTTCCGGCCAAAATACGCGACATAATAAAAAATCTCCTCTTAATAAGAGATGAAATATTCTCTAAAGCAATTGCTTTGTATTCCCTTGTGTGTTATTTTTATTATCCCTGGTGTATTATGAAATATTTTAGTATTTTCAAACTGTATTAGTATTTTCTATTTTGCAAACAGGTGTACAATAAATAGACTAACTGTGAATAATCAAGAACTATTATAAATAATACCATGGTTTTTAAGAATATAGTGATTAAATCTCCCCCAAACCGAGGACTGTTTGTGAAAGTCCAGAGGGAAAGCCAGAGGGCGAAGCCCGAAGGCGTCCCGAGGGATTTTCACTAACAGTCCAGGGTTTGCAGGAGAGTTAATCAATATATTCTTAAAAACCATGGTATCAGTTTGTATACCATGATCACCGAGGTGAAACTAGTTTTTTCATAATTAATTGATAGTAGGAGTATTGTGTAATTATTTTCTTTGTTGTGTAAAACATATTAAGAAAACTCTTTGTCGTGTCTTCGAATTTTGGCTCATGAATTTTAATCAGGGAGAAATTAAAAATCTGCCCGGCTTTGCCGGGATATTTAGAGTTCTGCCCGCTAAAGCCGGGAATATCGCAATTAAACCACCCGGTGAGAACAAAAGAACCCGAGGTGATCATGGTATTATTCCAATAATTCCAATTGATGCCTCTCCTTACCCATATTGTCTATGAACACTTCTGTCACTAATTGTATTTCTACGAACTTTTAAAGAAAGCTTTTTCTTGATTTTTTCCCGACGTTGAAACACTTAAAACACTGATTTTTGCCGCTTCAAAACGCGTTGGACACTGTGATGTGAATGACATGGCACTTCGGCGAGCCGCCATGTTGTTATTTACATTCTCGGCGGTCCTGGTAACTAACTAAAGCGTCGCTTAGATTATTACTCCGGCGTCAGCGACGGAGTTGAAAATTTGCCTCGGTTTTGTTTGTTTTTTTTTCGTTTTCATTTTTTTTCTCAATATTTTTCGTCGTCGCAAGTGTTTTTTGCGCGAAATATACTAGTATTTGAGTATATAGTGTATATGACCGTATTTATCTACGTTACAGTTTTGTCTCCCAAGAGTTGTCGTGCACAGCTCGAAATCTCAGACTAATTTTCTAATGCGCGATTCGATTTCGCTCGCATGATACGGCAATTCCTCCAAGAGGAACAAATAAACCGTTCTTTTGATGTTGTTTGATTAAGTTTAGATTTAATTGGGATAAGAATATATTTAATACAAGTAGATTTTGGTCCTATTTTAATAATATCGCTGCTATTTCGCCGTTTAACAAGATGTGGTCGTTTACGGGTGCGTTGAAACGTCGCAGTTAATTGGAAAGGATTGAAGATTTAATATAAGCACGAATTCCAAAGTTTAAGACAAAGTGAACGTATTTTGCGGTTTGTTTACATTTTTAAACAATTGAACTTCTATACTTTTAAAAGTACGATGTGCTTCTGAAATTCGCGATCGAATAACATTTAGGTTCGCAAGGCATATAAATGAGTTTATTATAAATTATACACAAGCGCCAGATATGAGGTATGCTGCAATTTCATTGGTGGGCTACTAGACAGATATTAGCTCATATCTGTCTAGTAGAGAAAGTAAACAAAATGGCTGAAAGATTTGGGAGTTGAGTGAAATAGAAATCCAAGCTTTAGTTGATAATAGCACACCAAAATGCACCGAAAAGGCGACAAAGTTTGTGTGTATATAATAAAACAGTTATTCTGCTCACGCTTGTCGTATATGGCCGATAGCCAACTCGGCGCCTCGTCGGCTATCAGCTCATATACGACTCGAGTTCGCAGAATAACTCTTAAATGAACTGTATTGTCTATGTTCAGAAGCTTTATATTGAAGACTGGCACGTGCGCGGCACGCGGAAGTTAACGCCAGAACAGGCGTCTTATTTAGATTATAATCTAGCGACGCTTAATGGCGACGTTCTAAAATTTAGAACCCATGTGTTTTAGAACATGTGAAACCGGTGCGAAACAATCTACCCCAGGCAAAGAACTCGCCTGCATGCAGCTCCCAATTAAATTATTCTCAAAACTAGCGCATGCAACAGCCAAATACCGTTAACACGCACTAATCGCAGTATAATCGAAGGAAACTAGCTCGATATAAGTCGATCTGTTCTTTAATTTATACCCACTTCCCAGAAAAAGCACGCGTTCCCATATACGCCTTTATTAGCACCACGTTAAATATTTCAAAAATGTGCTGATTGCATGTGCACTGAACAAATTTGATACGGAAGATATGAAAAACTATTAATTCAGACACAGCAGCAACCACCATTAATAACTTTTAGCAATTTTCGAAAGGCATGAAGCAGGAGGCTTTTTTCAGAGAAATGCAACTGAAGCTACTATAAATTCCAATACTTTTGTATACATATTGGCAAAATATTTTGATAGAAAATCAAAAGTAATCATCCACGTTTATTCAATTTTCACGGCAACTGCTATTTATTTCCACACATTTGATTCCGCTGACCAAAGTTTATGCGCCCACAGTAACACTTCTCGAAAAGTACATGCTTTTATTTGCTACTAATGAAGCGAGTGATAATAAAAATTGAGTATAATATTATTTTGGGATATCTGAAGAAAACTTGTAGATATTATATATAGCTGCGTATTTGAAGCTTTTGAAGGTGTCTAATAGAAACATTTATGGTTGGATTTAGAACATCTTTTTCAGTTGTTTCAGAATATGTTGTGAAATCTATGCTCATAAAAATTCTAGGTATTTAACAATAATGGTTTTCTTGACTGACAACTACGAAGGTGGAGAGAAATGTTTCCCCTTGGCTGACAACAAGACATTTTCTCAGAAGGCAAGTCATGTCGTAATGATATCGAATCATCGATGAAATCAATATTGATAATATCGAATACGTGGACATATATACTGTATATAATGTAAAGTTACCAGAACAACGATAATCTTATATAGAAACAGCAAAACATAGCTATTAGTGCAGCTAAAACGGTAGTGGAAAATTACATCATCAGCAAGTCTTTTAAATCTTCTTCGCAGGTTTAGAATTATCTCGACAATGGTCAGTGCATGAAGATAGCTTGGAGTACACACACATCCCCCCTTGTCCTTTCCCTGTCGAAGCCACTGACTATAAAGCCCCGTTTACACTAAAATTGGTACTCGTGCCCAGTTTTATTAGTGCTCATGCTACCAATACAAAGCGCGAGCACAAAGCCGTGCCGTTTCGGTAAATTAAGTGTTGAGTAGGCGGGGCGTTTTGAACAAAATGCATAATTAAATGCTGTTCATAATGCATAATTAAATGCTGTTCACCATTCAAACTTACAAGAATATCCATAACTGGTGAACTATGCATTAATTTTTACGTTTAGGACTTACCTAGAGAGTATCTTGAGAAATGCAATTTGGCAAAAAGCTGTAACAAATGCAACCTACTTGTTAAACCAAAGCAAGGCAAAGCACTTCTATGGTATAATCACTTATTGAATACCAAAACTTCTTGGATGGGTGCACTTGATGCGTTTTCCAGTCATGGCGATTGTGTATCCGATGGTGAAAAATGGATCGCAAATATTTGGATTGATATCATAGGAGATGGCAAACACGAATTAAGGTCATGGAAAAGCGGAACAAATTGGATTAAACCCGGAAATAAAAAGGATGCTGAAATTTATACATATTTGGGTAATCCTGACTTGAAGCAAAGTTCGAATTACACTCAGTTTAAGGAAAGATACTCTCCTGTCATGAACACAAAACCTGAAACGAATACTGATTTTCAGGAAACTAGGTCGGGTAAAAATTTAGGACATAGTAAAATTCTACAGTCAGTACTACTTCTTTTAGCCGAACTTAAACAGGATGAACTGTATATTGTTGCTGACAAGTTAAGAAAGGAAATGACACCAAGAAGATTTTTGGAGATTTTCTGTAAAACACATACATAGCAGCAAGCATTAACAAAGTGATCAATTACAACTGTACAAGTTACATTTAATTTACCCTCAACGCATCCATAACAGGGGTATTTTTATTTTCCTAATGGCTTTATTATTATACTAAGGACGGGTTAATATGAGACGGGTCAGCACGGTTTAGTCGGACTAGCTCAGCAGTGCCGGAACTCGCTTCACCAAAGGATTACAATGGTTTTCCGTGCAGGATAACGTGATCCATGCACGAGGGATGTTGCGAGACTTTTGAAAAGTGTAAAAAAACACGAGCCGCAGTCGAATAAATCACGCTATTCTGCACGAAAAACATTTGTGAATTGTTTTCTAAAACAACTACAGTGAAACAACCATATCGTTTTGAGAATCCCGCCAAAAACTCGCGAGTGCTTTTAAATTCCTCGTGGAGGAATTCCTCCTGATTTGAACAATGAAATTGCATGTTATTATATAAATATTATTTCGCAATATTTGTAAAATAGTCAGCAGCTGAACGAAGCGAGATCTCGTCTTAAACAGGTTCATATGAAAACATCAAGCGTGCCAGCAAAAGCGCGAGCCCGCCCGGTCTCATATGAACTGTTCTTTCCATGTTTGGATATGCTCCATACTCCCCCTCAGGGAATAAATATAATTGTAATATAACATCTATAGTACACGCGTGCTGATTGGTTGAGAAGCGTGTTTCAATTAGACAACGAAGGCGAGTTGTCTAATTGTTTTTGTACACACCCTGTACGCACTTCAAAATCAAGCCAGGAACAGTTGATGGAAAATGAGTCAACTATAGGTCCTCCGGCTACATCTGTAGCTCAGTGGCAAGAGCATTGCACCGGCATCGCAAAAGCGTAGGTTCGATTCCTGCCGGAGGACCTATAGTTGACTCATTTTTCCATCAACTGTTCCTAGCTTGAATTTGAAGTGTGTATAATACCACTCGAAATTAAGACCTTTTAACCTCTAGAATAATCTTGTACCTAGATAATTATATTAATTCCGAGAAAATAATCGATACACCGCAATTACATCGAAAAATACATACATTATACGGTCGCGCGAGCGAATTTGATTATTATTGTTATTATTTTATTATTTAAAAATATTTGAAAACGGTAGTCCTTCAGGGCACGTATAGGCTCCTGCTTTTCGAGGAGCCGTTTGGGAACTACTTACTACAATTATAATACAAATATTAAATTAATTAACAATTATATCGCACACAACTATTTTACTACAATTATAGCCTACATATACTATTCAGAAATTCATTACCTAGAAACATCAGCTGTGGTCAAGAATGAATTAGAATTTTTCAAGGCTCTTTTGTTCCTTAGTTTCATCTGGTAAGCTGTTCCATAAGGATACAGCCGAGTAACAAATACTCTTTCATAAAATTTCTTATTGGTTTTCCCAGAGAAAATTTCACATTATTACTGCGTATAACTGACACGCTTGGTTCTCCTTGATTTGAAACATTTGTGTAACTGATTTTGGCATGGTGTTATTTTTGATTTTGTGCATAAAAATATATTTGTTTCTCTTATATATATATAAGAGAAACAAATATATTTTTATGCACAAAATCAAAATCAAATAGTCGTTTTATATAGTCGTTTTCTTAATGGAGACCAATTTAGCTCTTTTAATTTAGAACATCTTTAGTCCTGGTTTCATATGTTCTGCCCGTAATCGAAATGTGACAACACAATAGCATTGTACATTTTTAACAAGGTCGATTGGGGAACAAATTTCTTAATTCGTCGAATCATTCCTATACTTTATGAACATTTTGAAACGATATTTTGTATTTGCTCGTCCCACGAGAGGTGCTTATCTAGGATGACCCCCAACGTTTTAGTTTTGTTGACTCGCCTTATCGTTGAGTCACCAAGTTATTGATTATAGGGTTTGCTAAAATGTTTGAAATGCGTTGTCGTGAACCAACAACCATATATTCTGTTTTCTTTTTATTAAGGGTAAGTTTATTAGAAGTTAGCCATTAGTGCACATTCTCCAAGTCGATATTTAATTAAGTGCTCTTGTATTTCAAATTCAGTTTTACCTTGAGTGGAAATATTTGTTTCGTCAGCAAACATATATGCCGAGGATGATGATAGACAATTCGGAAGATCATTTATATATAGCAGAAACAGCATGGGGCCTAAGTTAGAGCCTTGTGGTATACCACATTTAACTAGTCTTTCCTTAGACATAGTTTGATCTATCCATAATTTAGATCCTATATTGGTAAGATAGGACTTAAACAAAGCTAGATCACGGCCTCTTATTCCATAATAGTCCATTTCTACACAGTCAAAGGCTTTTTTAAGGTCAAGGAAAATAACTCCATTCAAGCACCCTCCATCCATGTCTAGTAGCCATTGGTTTGTAGCACGGAGGAGAGATGTTTGAGTGGAGTGTTTCCTCCGAAATCCTGCTTGTTGTTCAATAAGCAAATCGTTCGACTCTAAGTACGTGAAAAGTTGTTCTGAGACTAATTTCTCAAAAATGTTTGCAATACATGATAAAACAGAAATAGGTTTATGATTGCCACATATTAATTTGCTATCAGATCTATGTATTGGCGAGATTATAGCGATCGTAAAGTCGTCAGGAAATATGCCCGAGTTCATTGAAGCATTAAATATCGCTGATAATGAGGGAGCTATTTCTTCAGCTGCATCTTTGAGCAGTTTTGGAGAGATTCTATCATGACCTGCTGATTTACATGTTTTCATTACAGAAAGTAATTTGTAAACGTCCATTTGAGAAACATTTCGCATAGAAAATTCTGTACTTGTGTGGGTTAAATAAGATTCCGGCGTCTTAACGCTATTTGGTATTTCATTAGCCAGTTTTGGGCCGACTTAGCCGACGTTTTGGGCCGATAAGTTTTTAAAGCATTTGCAATTTCAAGTTTGTTTGTTAACACTTGATCGTCTTGATGGATTTGAGAAATTATGGTAGTTTTTGAGCTTTATCACTGAGTTCATTAACCGCTTTCCACATTTCTTTACGATTAATCTCGCATTCATTCAAGGCATTCATAAAATATATTCAACTTTTGTATTTTTAGTTAACCTATTTAAATTGTTTCGAGTTCTCCTATACCCGTCATGAAATTGTTTGTTTCGATCCGGTTTTTACTGCCTTTCTCTTCAAGTAATCTCTTTGACCCATGGCTTGTCTAATATTATTTGTCATCCACGGGGCATATTGGCTTCTTACTCTTTTAGTAATCGGTGGAGCATGAATATGGGCAATAGTTAAAAATATTGTTTTGCATTTTTCCCACATTACATTAGGGTCTAGCGATCTGTTCAAAAATATTTCGTCGTTTAATTGTGCGGAAATATCTGCTTTAAAAATTATGGCATTATACTTCTTAAATTGCCTGGTTTTGACAGTCTTAGGTTCTCCACGGGGAATGGAAATACTTCTTTTGATATAAATCATGCTATGGTCACTGATTCCCAAATGTATAACTCCTGAGGCAATATAAATCGATTAGTGTTTTAGTTGTTAACGTAAGTCGAGTTGTTTTTGTATAAAATAATTAATTGCTCGAATTGAAGCGTATTCATAATTTCGGGTAGCATATTTGTGTGAACATTGGCTTCATTATTAGCAAGAAGAGACCAGTCGCAATTGAAATCCCCAATCAAAATAACTTCCTTATTTTCAGAGTCCATTTGGGTAACTAATTTTTGGAAGGTATTATTATTATTATTATTAACTTCATATTTAACCAGGATATTAAGGCATTCTTGTGAACTATTCGGTGGTCGATACCAACTATTAACTATAAATGGTTTGGCTTTCGGCTTTATGATCTTAAGTGTTAATGTCTCACGATTGTCTCAAAATTTAAATTGCTTAAATCATTTCTGACCGCAGCTGAATCTCAATTTACTTTATGGTTTAAAAAGCGTTTGAAGTTACCCGCTAACATTGTGGTTCCTCGCAGGTTGAGGTGAAGACCATACTTATTCAGATGTGGTTTAAGTCCCCGATTGCGTTCTAGACAAAGATTTTCTAATCTCTTATTATAATTATTAAAATAATTATTAATTATTATTAATCCATAATTAATTATTAAAAAGGCGTAGCGGCAGAACCTCAACAAGACATGACAACGTGGAAATTTACCTCGTCCCAGACTTTTACGCGGTTTAGACGTAGCCGTAGCCGTTCTCGTTGGCTTTGCCAAACTCACTAAATTAAACTGTGAGGAGGCAAAGAGGACCTACTTGGACAGAGGTCTCACTCGGCCAAAAAAGTGTAACGCGTTGCCAAAAGCTTAGCCATTGCGCGTTTGAGAGGCACTCACCCCCCCCCCCCAAACTCAAATCAGACAAATCTCAAGATAATCTGATCATAAACTCAGCCGGGAACAAATTTTTGCGGTATTTTTTCTTGTATAATCGCCTTCCATTTTCCAAGTTTTCGAGGTGCTAACGCGCACTGGCTAAGCTTCTCGTCACACGCAAACATTAGCGTTTGTACAACAGTTACACCTGAGTCTGTCCAAGTGACAGAGGACCTACTCGAGCGTTGTTCAGGAGGCCCACGGAATTAATTATTTCGTGTTTGTCACACGGGTTCAAGAAAAATTGTTTTACCGGTTTGGGTAAATATAAATTTAACTAGAAATACATGCATGCAGCAACCCCTCGCCATTTCGAAGCAAACGAAGCAAAATATTTCCCGAGCTAGCCAGACCTAACCTTCAATATTATGAAATGTCCTAAATGTAAAGCCGATAGCTGATGTTTCAAATATTTAGGAAACAAACACAGTCGTAAAGGTGAAGTGAAATCACCCGTTTTCCTGCTGCTTTCCGTTGCATTAAGTTATAGACTTTCACAGTTTAAGTGAGAGTTAATACTTCATTATAGCTAAAGCTTCAAAACATCAAAACAGCCCAAATAATATAAATAACCAAGCAGTGAACGTCGAATGTTGTTTTTCGATTATTAAATTCATGCAGTGATTGCAGTCGACTATATATAAACCTTTAAAGTGATATTTGTTATATTAAAACTCCGAATTACATTTTTAAGGACTCTTTTGGAAGTTAAAACGATGATGTAAAGCCTTAAATAGTCGGTCACGTCTTAGCAAAACCGAGCAAAACGACATACTGTACCAAGGTCATAAAATGTATTCGTACAGCAAACACGAAATAAACCTCGAAATAAACAAAATAGACTCCTACCATTTCAAGGATTATAACCGAGTTGTTCCTTTTCACCGCTAATTCCTCCAGTTCTGATAATATTTTAAACTCTTCCCAGTGTTTTATCTGTTTTTTGATTCCACATTTCATATTTTGTTTTCGAAATATTTTTTAAAAAAATAGTTTGCAAAATGACAGTTAAATTGCTGACGTTTTTCACTGAAACACAAACGTTTCGTCTTAGCCAATCAGGAAGTTGCTGATTACCAGTCTACACTCGTTCGCATTTCGCGCATGCGCACAAGTACCATGACCATTGAACGTCCATGACATTTGGGCAACTTTGGATTCCGCTATGTTCTCCCGGGTGTAATTCCTAATCTCCGCGCGGAATTAGTACCCTCGCACGGTGCTCCGCACCGGCTCGGGGATTATATATTATAATTTATATTGTTCAATTTAAAAAATAATGTCGGTTGAAATTTTTATGCGATGAGCAGATGAGCATGTGCTCATGAGCAGTTATGAGCATGTGCTCATCTGCTCATCGCATAGAATTTGTAAATTGTAACCGATCTTCCACGTCTAATTTGAAAGCTCCAAGCTTAAAGCTCCAGCCATAATGCTCCAAGCAACGCGTCGTC